CTTTCCATTTGCTATTAGTTTTGTGTAGATCATTCCCTCCTACGGTGATTTCGTCAACTTGGTAAAACTACAAGTCTGTGGCAAGTGAACTTAATATTGTAAAGTATCTTTTAAAATATTTTTAGCCTCAAGGATCAGAAGAGGCCAAAGCATTTGTAAATGCCTTCCTAAAGAGCAGTATGCCAAAAATGAAAAATGACGCTATCCAGGACATACTAACTCGGAAAGCTGTAGTTCTTGAGCATCATTCAAAAAAAAAGACAAAGCAAAAGAGGAAGAAAACAAAAGGTTTTACTGCCAAGCAAAGGCGAGAAATGCGTCTTTTTGAAATTGAACCTGAACAGCAAAGGTAAGATCTTAAATACTTTTTGTGTAGTAAAAGTAGGAAGTCTGTCAAAAGTATGTGAAAGCAGCAGCATGTACACATGGGTACTAACCCTTCAGTACATAAAGTCAGACTGACTGTTTGTGGCATTTCACCATGAGAAAACAATTACTTCTTCTGTATAGTTGGAAAATTCATTTCTATTTGTTACCGGTTCTTTTTCCTTTTTTTATAGCAAAATATAACAAGAAATTAAACCCAAATACAATCACCTCTGATTTCAATTTTTAAAAAGTTAAGACTGTCACCAGAGTCAAAATTGTGCATCAGGTTCCTTGAGCTAATGCCTGTTGAATAAAGCCCCCGCTGTTGCTAACACAAAGTAAGTGGGGAGGTACATGAGTAGAAGTCTCTTCGGTAGCCTGATCCTCTAAAACACATCACTGTTTTGGGTTGACAGAAAGGAGCATACTAAGTTTGTGCATTTTTATAAAGCAAACCTGTTGTTTGGATTGGGTTACCTCACAGGTTAAGTTATAAAAGCAAATTACAAAATTTATAAATGTTAGTCTTAACTCTGTTGTAAATATGGATTACTTCTGTAATCAGCCAATACATTGTTCAATAAATAAGTTCTTGTATAATACTTTTTGTCTTTTTACTGCAGATACACAATCTTTCTACCGCTACATGAACTCTGGAAACAGTATATCAGAGACTTATGTCACGGACTTAAACCAGATGTGTAAGCTGAGATATTTTAAAATTAGTGTGGTTTTGATTTAGTAGATATTTCCAGGTTTACTGAGTTACTGCTTGAAACATTATAGTTACTTGGCAAGGATACGTACTATTTCTGTAAGCTTCGGCCATCATTTCAATAGTCACGGTCACATTTTGTAAACCTAACTTGCCATATAATTTTCTTTCCCTCCTCTTTGATCCCACCCTGTTCTTCAAGGCAACCACATATGGTTCAGGGCAAACTGCTAAAAGCTGATCTCCATGGAGCTATTGTTACAGGTATTCTATGTTTTCTTTTACAAAATCATCTGATGTTCAGTAGACAGTCCTGTATTTTGGGTCCTTATTTTTAAATTCCTTTCAGTATCATTAACTCCAGAATCACATAGTTGAGATCATATGTTGATGGATTCTTTCTCTACTTACTGATGCTAACTTACTTTTCAAGCTTTCTTGAAAATCCTGGTGTTAGTTGCAAAGATTAACTGCAAGTTTTACCAGCAGTTACTGTAATTGCATTATTTCAGAATATTGCAAACCAGTTTTTAAAATAATGACACAATTGTAGAAGAGCAAATAAACTGCCTGCATCTGAAACTTTCTAATATATACATACTTCTGTTCTTTCAGTCACAAAATCAAAGTGTCCCTCTTACGTTGGGATAACAGGAATCATTCTACAGGAATTTAAACATGTCTTCAAAATTATCACTAAAGAGGACAAGTTAAAAGGTATAAGACAGCTTTTTTCAGTGCTTTTCACAATTTGGATACTCAGGAATTTCTTAAACACACTGTTCATCTTACACATTTGAGGATGTTGTTTTATATCAGTGCTTTTAATTCTTTGCGTAGAGTGGCAGAAGCCAATGTCTTTACTGACCATGTAACAGCCCAATATCTTACTGAGAAAGTATCTCATTAGAAATCAGCAATTAAAGAAAAAATGCATTTCCAATGAACCCAACGTGATTATGCGTATGCATCATTCATCTGATTCACATTAGATGTTCTCTGCAACACTTACAGCATGCTCCTGAGAGAGGACTAACTTTAGTAATTCCAGTTTAAAATTTAGAAGTTTTGCTTATTTTCCTTCTTTTGCCAAAGCATAAAAACTTGAAATGTGGCAAACCTCAAGTCTACATGTGAATAATGTCCCCTGGTACATCAGTATCTTTTCATAACAGGGATGTACATTGGTCCACTTTTGTTAATTTTTTTCCTTTTGCATTTTCAGTTGTTCCCAAACTTAACAATGTATTTAGCTTGGAGATTGATGGATTTGTTTCCTACATCTATGGAAGCAAGTTCCAGCTTAGAGCAAGTGAGCGATCTGCAAAAAAGTTCAAGTTGAAAGGAACTATTGATCTGTGATTTCATGGAAAACCAGAAGTATTCATAGAAATATCTACTATTTTCCTGCAGTTCAAAGACCAGGTTTTCTGGCAGATTGAGAATGGAACAGCTATGTGAGATATTTCTAAAGCATTTCTTTTTACTCAAGAATGACTAGTACTGTTGTCTTTAAAGCAGTCTCTCAAGACTGCTGAAGTTTGTATCTGCTTTGTTATTTGTATATAACACTCTAACTTTTATTAAACTTACATGGTTAGTATTGATTACCTGACTTCCATTTCAATTTATAGTCATAAATTTGCATAATGAAAACAATTTCTTGTAACTGTGTGGTAAGTGTTATTGTTGCCTTCTGTGAAAACTGGGCTTTATATGCTTATAATGAGACTGTAGGTGATGACAGCTGCTCTTCTATAATCATTGTTCCTGGGCCAACATCAACATCTTTGCCTCATGCAAGCATATGAAAGTAAGTTGTTTCAACTGATAGGTTTTACCTTTAATATCTGCTTCCCTGTGGTTAATAGTTATGCAGATAACATGTATATACACGAAAATATACATGTACTAAATATGTAATGCAGCCCTGCAAGCTGTTTGCTTACCAGTAACATGCTACTTCAAGATTAAACCAGGTATGTCTGTATCAGTAATTGCCATGCCAGAGTGCAGGAATCACAACACATAGCATAACAGGGAAGCACTTGAATCTAGAAATTCAAAGATGGAAATTAGTCCCATTCAATCTTGTACCTAAATTATCCAAAAAATTTCTTTATGATTATTTAACCTCTATTCATAGAGCTTTAGCCTGTTTTTGTATATATTTAGACATGGTGTCTATGTTCTACACTTTCAAAATGCTTTTATTAAAATACACGTTACACACACTATTTTAAAAAAGCCTAGCTTGGATGGCACTTAGTTTGTATCACTTGTTTGTGAGCACTACGTAAGTGGAACACAAGAGGTCAAGTAGTTTCATAGTGTAAGTCTTCCAAAGTCACCAGCCACCCTTAATACAGCACCATTTGTGAAGAAGCTTCTAGTGTTTCAACCTTCTACAAATACTTGCTTTTTGCAACAGTGGTTGTAATGGAGACCCCATACTTGCACCAGTGGAGACTTGTTCAGCTTTGGGTGCATGTGCTTTATATGTGTCCTCAGCCCTTCGATCATCTTTTTTTCATATTTTTTTTTAACTATATACTTCCAGGATCCTTTGACTGCCCAGATTACAATGTCTCATTGACTAGGCAGGTTTCACTTGTTTGGGAGGTGGTAGCCATCCTCGTATTTAGGTCATTTAACATTTTTCTATTATAAAAGAGCCTCTATGGAGTTTGTATTCTAAAGGTAGCTTTCAGAAGCTTTCAACTGAAATTACAAAGTCAAGTTCAGGATCAAATGAAAGACCCCTATCCAGGAAGAAGAGTTTTTCCCTGCCACCATTCAAGCGTTTGTAGCCAACCAGTGTCATTTCTTTAAAGAGAACATGGCTGTTCTCTCACACACACTACAACCCAAAGCCTAGTACTGGGGTTAGGAGGACAGGTCCAGCGAGAGCTCTTAACTGCACTGCAGAGCACACAAGCCATTTATCTGCCATGAGAAAGCCAAAGAGCATCACCACCTCCAACCCTCCCCGGTCCTATGAAAACACTAACTGTGCCAGTCAGTCAGCCTCCAGAGCTCCTAGCTACTTCCTGCACCTGATGCTGAGAGAGGTTACAGGAGAGCTGCATCTCCCTGGCACAATCCCTCAGACACAAACGAGAACTGATCAGTCGAAATCACAGCATGGGCAATACCGGTTTTCAAGAAGAACAGACTGCTTCTCTACCCCCTTTAAATAATGCAGTTGGTATGGAAATAAATCTTTGTTGCGATTGCATGAAGTACTGCCCTTTAGATGGGGAAAATGGACAGTGCTTTTGCTAGAGATGTATATTTTGTACAGGGAAATACAGTCACTTCACACCAATGGGAAACTAGGAGAAGGACACACTAGGAAAGCTTTTGAAAGTATGGATAAACACACTGAAAGTGCCAAAAAGTAGAAGCTTTTTTCAATGAATTTGTATCTGTGAAGTAAGAACAAGATGTGTTAAATTTGTTAGACCCAAGTTGTTATTCTACTTAGCACCCATTACTCCTCTCAACGTTCTCTGAAATTAAATCCCTTTGTTTCCTGTGAAAGGTCAGAAGGAAAAACAAACAAAATAGGAGAGAGCATAAATCATAGTAGAAACTTCCCTTTCAGGACAATGACCTAATTTTAGTTTTGCTTACAGCCCTCAGTGTAACATCCAATTAAGATATCTGTTAAATGCCTATAATATTAAATTATTATTAGGGGGAAGCTAATAGAACTTTATTGGCATAGTCCAGTTAATTAACATTAAGGACCTTTAATGGATGTCTTAAGTAGATATCATTAATGGGAATGCCATACAAATTGGAATTAGGCACAATCGTGTTTCATTGTGCTGTGAAGGACATACCATATTCTACCATATGGACACATACATGAACACGATACAAGTTCCCATAGTTTAAAAAATGGAAATGGCAGTAGCTATTTCGCAAGCAAAAAAGGCAAACACTGCCTAGCAGTCCCTCTCAATAAATAATAGCAAGGCATTCATTATTTACAGTGAAGAGTGCTGAAGAGATGTTCAAAGGTCTCCTCAAGGTAATCACATGCTAGTAGCACATAAAGACAGATGACAAATGAAGAACAAGAGAGCTGAACAGCCAATGCATTCAATGATGCCTTTACTGCAGTTGGTAAATCACCTGAAGAGGCCTTTTTGTAATGACTCAGTGAGGTGTTCCAAACAGCCCCCATAAATCACTTAAGCTAAATCGCTCCTGCAGACCACTGGTATCACTGCCTACCCATCAGCTCCTTGAACCAAACTCCCGTCCCATCTGCTTTCTCCAGAACACTGCTCTGTGTTCATCCTTCAGTAGAACAGATTAAACTCCCCACTGCATGTGAAGGAACTTCCTTAGAAACTGGGTAACATGGAAATGACTGCTCACCAGACCTCCCCTGCTGATTCATGACCATTCTCCTCCTCTTCGTTAGCTAAAACAGTAAATACTTAATGGATTTAATACTAGAAAATCAGAGAACTAATCACAGCTGTCTCTAATATGCCTCTTCCTTCTTATGTTCAACTCTGAATTGCATGCTGCAGAGACATGTTTTTCATAATGATTTTTGTACCTAAACTCTCACTAAAGAAAAGGCTAACCAGGGAATAATGAACAATGAACAATATAGTTTCACTACATTACACACATTTCTGCTTTCCTATTACTATGTATATATTTTATAACCAATCTGAACTGAAACAATTGCAAACAGTCCAGTTACTGAATTTTGAACATTTAAGCAAGAATGGGAAAACATCCAAAAACCCCCATAATTTCTGTTTGAAACCTCAAAATAATTCATTGTAGGAAACGCTTGAAATTAAACCAAATCACATCCAAGAAAACACACAGAGTTTTCGATTTAAGGGATTCTTTATACCTCCTCTAAAAGATGGATTACACAACAATACCATGGAAACCCCCCAAAACCTCACGGGACATTCATATAAAAATCACTGAAATCACAGCAGCGTATAGTTGATGTTAACTCTATATATTCAAGCCACCCAATGTTTTAGAGAAGCATATGAGAGCATAAAATTCTGATCCAGACCAGACCCTTTTTTAATGGATTCTCAAGTCTTGGACAAGTTCCCTCTGGCAGACTCTTTGTCCATTTTAGCGTTTCAAATCTGGGAAGACTGGTGTCAATACAAGAAATAATTTCTAAAACTCTTACAACCTTTGACCAAGCAACTCTTGTTAAACAAACCTTAAAATAATTTGGAACAGTAACACATAGTCCTTAATAAGTAGCTGCATTTTGCAAAGGAGAAGTCCCAGCAAGGGCAACTAGTATTTTTCACTAGAGCAATATCCCTATTGAACCAGAAAAAAGAAAAGGACAGGATATAACTATGCCAGGCTGGTATGATCTGGAAAAGGAAGCTTCTTGTTCTGAGGTGTGTACATAAAAGGTAGGCAAATCTGGCTTAGCTATTTTCACCATAACTTGCAAATGATAGGCTTAGAAACCTTGACTGGAAACATTGGTGGTGTTTTCTAATAAAAACAGACAAAAAAAATGGCATGTGGTAAGAAAGAGTACAGAAGAAAAAACAGACTGAGTTGCAGTTCAGACTGAATAACAAAGGGAAGGAGAATCAGTTTGGTAGGGGAAACAAATCCTGCAGAGAAAAGCTACAGGTATTCACTGCCATGACACTGGTAATTCTGTACATCATCCGCAGGCTTTCACTTTTGTAGTTTTTTTATACACCAATTTTGCTACCAACTGCGTTACACACTAACCAACTGGGGGCTATTGGTCCTTCTCCACATTGGCCCTTTTTCTGTAGTTATTTAAATTATTTAAATATATGACATTTATAAATCTTTTAAAAAAGATTTAGAGGTAACCTTTAACATTCTACAAATAAATATGAAGCAGTCCTTGGGAAATGAACAAAAGCCACAGCTTTTGTGTTGTTTTACACACCATGTAAAAGTTATGAAAGTTTTTCACTTTCCAAAGAAAACAGTGCCTTTGGGAATTCAACAGCATGGCTGGGAAAGGCTGAGCTTGCAACCAGAGCTCTTACAGGCCCACACTCTGCCGGGCGTTTGTTGGTGTGCATGTGCCAAAGAACCAGCACACACCACACAGAGCTATTGACAGGTTTGCCATCAAATAACTTACATATTTGCTTACAGCTTTCTTAAATAGCATCCTTTGCCTCATATCACTGGAGCAGTTCACTTCCCTTGGCCCCCCCCCCCCCCCCAAAACCCACCAACCAAAACACCACA